TGTAAGCGGGTCACCTAGCTCTGTAAGCGGGTCACCTAGCTCTGTAAGCGGGTCACCTAGCTCTGCAAATGGGTTACCTACCTGTCAATCCACTGACTTCGATGATGAGTCGGGTGTTATTTTATAGTCAATAAATCTGCCTGCAAATGTGATGTGAAGCAGAAAAGTGTGTCCTCAAAAGGTGTTCCTTGAGATGCTATTTGTCAAGAACAGGCCTTCCTCATTGATGCCTCACCCAAATGGGCTGAGGTGACCTCACGGTTGGTCTGGAGCTTTGGTGTGGGCCAGATCCATCCATATCCAGTTCCCTTGAAGCCATCAATAACCCACTTACCCAGAAGCCTAAGTTGGGTCATTTGGCTTAATGGACTCTTCGAAAAATAATTAGGTGCTCAGAAGGACTAAACACCTAAGCTACCTTCCAAGCAAGAACTGGGAGGGGGTTTCCCTTATGGGGGGATCCAAATGGACCAGGCCTACTGCACAAGCAACACACAAGCAACTTCAGCCAAACCCTCAGTGTAACTATAATTATTTTTGGTATCATTTTTTTGTGCAGGTGTTTTTTTTCTTCATTCTTGTTTTTAATTGTTTAACAAACACACGAAGAAGCCGACAGGTTCCCAGCACGTCCTGTTTGGGTGGTTATTTGCTGTTCTAATAGATAGGCGGTGTAAAATGTGTTCGACTCTGCATGCTGAGCTCCAGCTCAAAGCTCAGGTCATACACAACCACCAAGGTTTAGTAGCACTATGGGTCAAAGCCTTTGCACTAGGACACAGATGGAACCAGGTTTGCGCGCTGACCCTCACAGTTCAGATTGCAGTTGTTGACTTTCCACATGTGTGGAAGTCAAGGACAAAAAATAACAATCCCCTTCTCACTGATGCACCTACACACAGAGAGATGACGCGCTGAAAGGCAGCGAGTCTGTACTCTAAAGAAATAGTCTGAGATGCTGAGACAGCTATTTGCTCCACAAGCAACAAAAGCTCACTGATTTAAACTAAAAACAGTTCCAAAAAGTACCCAACACAGAAATAATGACACACACAATGGTAATCTTGCAGTAGTACTATAGTTTTGTTCCATAAACACTGCATAGGTACAGTAACTGCATATTAAACCAAAAACAGAAATACTGGCTTGTTGGGGGGGGGGGGTGCTCTTCTGACTGCTCCATAGGTGCTTGTCCTGTATTGTCCCAGCATGCTCCGGCTCCACCCATCCCACGAGATACACAGACACTCCCAGTTGGCTGGCAGATCGTTGGACACACCTATTACGCCTACTTCGCTTGCGTTACCTCTTAAACATCGTTTGCATCTAAGGATGGATCATTTCATGTTCATCCCTCCATCCAGACTTTCTCCAGTTAACAGCTCCAGCTGTAACAGAGTGATCTGGGGAACTTCAGAACAGTGAGGATTCGTTTAGTAAGTGGCTGAGAATCACAGTCTTTATCGCCGCTGTAAGGGCTTTTCTGCCGGTCCACATTCCTCGACAAATGCCGTATTACATCTTAATTACATGTTTTCCCAGCCTGTTCATGGGATGTAGGCCTAAATAAAGACATAAATAAAACCCCAACCTTAAATCTCCACATCCAGAATCATGCTGCCTGCGGCACGGAGTCACAGTACTCACTGCGGCAAACACAGTCACCCCCTCGGCGTCTACCGGTATCCCTGTTTTGGCGTCTTCACTTTCCTAAGCATATACTAGGAGACCCCGAATTACAGTCCCCCGATTTTAATTTGTACTTTGAAAAGCTGGCGGAAACATAGCGGCTCAGCGTACAGACAGCTGCATGTCTGATTGCACATAATCATTTTGGGAATGAACAGCCTTATATGACATGGTATAAAATGATATTTTCCGTCTCATAACCAGCTAGTCCTGGAGGTGCGATCTGCTATCTTGCCTTGTGTCATCGCTGCCAAATCCGTGCCCGTCCGCTTTAAAATAGGAATATACGCGTGTCATTTGTAGCGCATAAAGGTACTTTATGCAAAAACGGGGTGAGGCGCGTGAGGTGACGCGTCCTTCACGAGCTGAAATGCAGCATGAGGGCGACCCCCCAAGCACAAGCTACGCTCAAAGCCGGCACCTATTTACCTGAACCCAAGCAGCACGATTTTAATCCTACCCACTGGCAAATCACAGCTATCATTTTAAATGCACTTCGTCTGCTCATTATTCATTCATAGCCTTCGATAGTTTAAGTTAGAAATAAACTATTCTTATCCCATACCTACCCCCTTCCCTTTAATAGGTACGATGACAAACGTGTAGTCCGGTCCATAATAAAGTAACTCTTACAAATAAACTCAGTATCCGATTAAGAGGGGGGTCACCGGTTGCCACACCTTCAAACAGCGCAGGTAACAGGGTTACATCGTCGGGTATTTATGCGATTGATGCCGATAAATAAAACTGGAGCAACGGTAACTTGCAGTGTGGGAAAAGCGCCAGGTAGGTATCCGCCTTACCTCCGATCCATCGCTTGCACACCGTTGATGCAGCCAGCACGCCGTCCTCCGGTCCCGATCCAGCAGCGAAATCGGCGGTGACAGCGCGGCGACTGCGAAGCCGCCCACCGACTGCATGCTGCGCGGTCCGTGCTGCGTCCCCCGGGGCAGCAACCGGAGCCTCACCTTCCCTGGAAAGCAGCGGGACCCTGGGGAATCGCCGTGTGTCTTAATTGGGCTACGCCTGAACCTCGCATCCAAGCCCTGAGATATGTGACGGGGAGGGCTGCGTGTCATGCAAAAGGGAAGACTACGAAGCTGAGGTGTGTCTGCACTGCGCTGCAGACCTGCGATGTTACGGCGAGGGCGACACCGCAAACCCCCACAGACGCCGAATAAGGACCCCTTTGTGATCCGCCAAAACACTGTTTCCATTGATGTTAGGATCGCATTTAGTAGCTTATACAAGGCGTTATATTACGCCCGGCACAAACGGGGCTCAAAAAGATCACTCTTCAGCCACTAATATCCGAACAAAGAGTTGGACGTAAAGTAAATGCTAATTACATATCTTTATTAAATTAATGTATACAAATTTCTTACGCAAACAGGAGACCATATTGTAAATCCTTGTTATTCTGTACGCACCATTTCAAACATTCCGTACAATCGGTTTCAAATCAAGTAACACCTTTTTAAAATCTTAACATTCTGTAATTTATTTAGCAAATACTTGGCAAATACATAATCCAGGAAATTCAGTTCTGTGGAAAAGCCTGTACGGCAAAGATATTTGTAGAAGCTACACACTGTGAAAAGCTTGTATTCTGTATTCTGCATTTACAAGCGGAAAGAACATAACGTCTGGTGAGGAGATATTGAGCCCTGGGTGACCTGGTAGGAGGACCAGGGCTTCCTTGGCAAAAAAAAATGAAAAGAAAGGCAAAGCGAGCTGTCTGTAGGTGGCAGTGTCCTGCAGAATCTGGGCAGGCCTCTAGTCTGTGGGCTTAAGTTCTGTTCATCATCTTTAGCAAGAGCTGAGGAGAGCAGAAAGAAACAAAGTCTGACGGGAATCCTACCAAACACACTTTATTTAAGTCAACTGCATCACTGCACCCTTTACCGTAAAGCAGGCGTTACTAAACCCCTCCTTTCCTCTAAAAATTAGATTCCCAAACGATCAGATGGTCCCATAAAACCAATCAACTAATCACCAAGCCCAGAATTAGTTGAATCAGGTGTGTAGGGGAATCAAGGAGAGGTGTGTGACCCACCACGCTGGACTAATCCAAGATTTTGGTAACAACCACATCAAACCAATCAGAGGTCTGGGAACCAGCATACTGGACCAATCAGAGGTTCGGGGGAAAGATGACACACTTGCGTGAGACGGTAGTCTGGTTCGACCAGCCTCTCGATGATGCTGAAGTGATCCGTGTCTGGGACGTCTTCAAAAGTGACCCGGAAGCCTGAGGACTGCAGGGCCTGGAGGAGAAAGCGCGGTAAGAAGGGGGGAGGTAAAAGCAGACTGGGGAGACCGCGGGGATATTCCAGTGGACCAGCGAGGTCGCGGGGGTATTCCGGTGGACTGGCGAGACCATGGGGATGTTCCGGTGGACCGGCGAGACCGCGGGGATATTCCGGCGGCCTGTACGGTTCTGCATTCAGGCCTGAGGTGCCACTTCAGCCCTATGTGTACGTGATATATAAAGCGAAGCATGTGGCTGTATAACTACTAATTAAATTAAACTAAAGAAATTCCAAAGAAACATTGATTCTGTTCAAGCGAATAAGGATCTATGGCTTTTTCCTGTGACGAGCCAAATTTTACTGCTGTGACTGCAAAATGAGAATATTCTATTAAATCATCCATCCATCCATCCATATTCCAACCGTTTGTCCTGGTCAGGGTCACTAAGGACGGACTGCAAGGGCAGCATAGTGCATGATTCAGAGAGACACCCTGGATCGCATGCCAGTCCATCACAGGCTCACGTTTGCCAGCATTTGCACAGTATGCGCAGTTTAGGATTCATCTACCTGCATGTGTTTGAACTGTGGTAGGAAATGAGCTTTCAGGCACTTCGGCCGCTTCTCCAAGAAGGCTGGGTGCTCCAAACAGTAACGGTTGCATAGAGGCAATGTCTGTCCACTGGGAAAAACACCAAGGCCACGGCTCCCAGTATGGCACTGGTGTATCCCCACACCTGACTGATGTCTTTCGTCATGGGGCACTTCCAAACCGTTGAGACCTCCCCCCCCCCAGCCTGGAGCCAGGGAGGTTCAGCTGATTTTAGCTACCTGGTAACCTACACAAATCCAGGTCTGATTCTCAGAGGGGATGTAAATACACTGTATAGACAAGGCACTGGGACACGCTTGGTAATCATTGAATTCAGATGTTTTCTTCACACAACTTCGTTGTGTGAAAGTGCGTTATAAATAAAGTTGCCATTGCCATTACCACAGGTGTATAAAGTCAAACATCTAGACATGCAATCAGGTTCACAAACATTTGTGAAAGAATGGGTCATTCTGAAGAACTGAGAATTCAAGCATGGTACTGTCACAGGAGGCCACCTTTGCAATAAGTCAGCTTGTGAATTTTTGTCCCTGCTAGACATTCCATGGTCAACTGCAAGTGGTATTACTGCAAAGTGGAAACGTTTAGGAACAACAGGAACTCAGCCACAAAGTGTCAGACCGCGTAAAGTAACAGAGCGGGGTCACCGACTGCTTAGTGCACAGAGGTACATAGTGCGTAAGAGGCACCAACGCTCTGTTGACTCAATAACTGTGTCAACTTAATTCCAAACTGGCTCTGGCATTAATCCCAGCACAAGAACTGCACCGCGAGCTACATGGAATGGGCTACCATGGCCGAGCAGCTGCATGCAAGCCTCACATCACCAAGCACAGTGCCAAGCGTCAGATGCAGTGGTGTAAAGCACACTGCCACTGGAGTCTGGAGCAGTGGAAACTTGTTCTGTGGAGTGATGAATCACGCTTCTCTGTCTGGCAGTCTGACAGACAAGTCTGGGTTTGGCGGTTGCCAGGAGAAAGTTACCTGCCTGACTGCATTGTGCCAACTGTAAAGTTTGGTGAAGGGGGGATTATGGTGTGGGGTTGTTTTTCAGAGGTTGGGCTTGGCCCCTAAGTTCCAGTGAAAGGAACTCTTAATGCTTCAGCATTCAAAGCCATTTTGGACAATTCTATGCTTCCAACTTTATGGGAACAGTTTGGGGTTCTAGCATGACTGTGCCCAAGTGCACAAACAATGTCCACACAGACATGGCTGGGTGAGTTTGGTATGGAAGAACTTGACTGACCCACACAGAGCCCTGACCTCAACCCCATCAAACACCTTTGGAATGAACAAGAGTGGAGATTGTGAGCCAGGCCTTCACATCCAGCATCAGTGCCTGACCTCACAAACGCTCTCCTTCTCACAGACACTCTCCAAAATCTTTTGGAAAACCTCCAAAAAGCTGTTATAGCTGCGAAGGGAGGACCAGCTCCATACTGATACCGATGGGTTTACAATGGGATGTGATAAAAGTTCCTGTGGGTGTAATGGCCAGGTGTCCTAATACTTTTGTATAATAATTAATTTTATCTTTAATCATGTTTTTTTTTTTGGTATCAAGCAACAGTGACAAATGGGTCTGATGAGAACGGGGCTGCGAGAGGGAGACTGTCATACACTGTCTAAGTCACTGGTTTGATCCCAGTGTGATCCAGTATTTACCAACAGGAAATGGGCTGGGCCTGTCAGTGAATGACAGCAACCATCATCCCACCCAGGATGGGCAGAATGTGTGTGTGTGTGTGTACATGTGTGTACGTGTGTGTGTGTACGTGTGTGTACATGTGTGTGCGTGTGTGTGTACGTGTGTGTACGTGTGTACGTGTGTGTGTGTGTACGAGTGTGTATGTGTGTGTGCGTGTGTGTGTACGTGTGTGTGTGTGTGTACGTGTATGTGTGTGTACGAGTGTGTATGTGTGTGTGCGTGTGTGTACGTGTGTGTGTGTGTATGTGTACGTGTGT